GACTTATAAGATTGTTATTCTGTTATGTAGGTTACCGTTACCGCTTTCCACTTTTATTCTATAATAATTATGCTTGCTTTATATGTTGGTATTTTTCGAACTCACTAGACTGTAATAAATTAATTTATTCAAGATGCCAGGCGTTCAGTGTCCTTTTATAGATCAGTTCGCTACACATCACCTACAGACATAGTATCTGCTTCAGTGTTTGTTTCTCAAGCTGTACTAATTGCGCCGATGATAAAATAATGTCTTTACAGTTTTCTTTGACTGCAGAATGAAATAAACAAACTGCCAGCGCACTCTAAAATTCTTACGTATGACGACCCCTCTAACACTGGTTTAAAGCAGCTGCGTGGAAGTGAATACGTAATCGATCAAGAGGAAAAGTTACTGTACTTCCATTCACATGAGATGAATGCGGCATAACTAATGTTCCATAACACCTGCTGCTTATTGTCCTTGGAAATTAGCTAGATTGTTCTTATGTACTGAACTAGCCTGCTCATTAAGCAATGGCGAGTATAGTTCTAGAAGACTCTTACAATTAGTCCCTCATCTTTTATCAGTTACCCTGAAAGGATTTTCGAAGTTCCGAGCATTTTTCCTGTCTTATACGTTCGACTTCGTGCTTGATATCAAATCAGAACGGTCGAGCATCTGCTAGAAAACATTCCAAATAAAAGAAGAAAAGTACCTAATTTCCGTTTCCTTGTTATGTGCTTTTGCTGTTGTTGCTCGCTTTTGATTTTCGATATAAGCATTTGTCTTTGATTTTGAAAAAAAGCGTCAGTTTAAGTCCATCGAGACTGTTTTGATTTTCATACAGAACTTAGGAGAAATCATCTTTTGCACGGAATTTGGTTGGTTTGTAACGATGAACTCTTCTGTTTCAGTATGTACTACTTGTCAAACAACGACATCGCTTACATTGTCGCTCTTGCCATCTTAACAGCATGGAGCATTTTTGCCAACGCATTCCTGCTTTACATGATTGTCTGCAGAAGTCCTAAAAACCTTTCACCGTATCGAATATTTCTTGGCAATGCTGCACTTACGCAATTGTTGCTCTCTATAGATATCATTGTTGTTGCACCAAGGTAAGTGAATAAATACTCTATCAAGTAACTTCCGAGTCCCGTTTTCATGAAACTTTGGCAAGTTCAAATTTCTTTTGTGCCGTAGAGGTTTGATAAGATACGTCTTACG